ACTGCGGGTTCTGTGTCCACGTGACATGTCACATCATTGTTCGTTCGAGAGTGGATTGGATATTTGTAGACACTGTGTGCTAACTCTGACCCTTGACGAATGTCGCCAGATAACACTGGGATCTCTTTTATACTTCGTGTTGCTGAAATCAGATGGAGGACGGGGTTTGAAGTATAGACCGAAACAGGTCTCTGAATCATGTCAAAAAGACCGCAGTCGATGAGGCCTCAGAGATTATGCCGAAAAGATCAAAGGAGAAAGCTCCCTCTGAAATCGGAAGATAGAGGAAGATTGCAATTTTGTCGGCGTCAGCGGCGATCCCTATCATTCACGTGGCGATCATTACACGTGTTCTGCACTTCATAGAAAAACACCGCTTCTGAAACCATTCGAGTAAATAATATTGGGATATTATTCCAGGAATACTTCATTGTTCGACGACATGAAGGGCTTCCGTTACGTGATGTGGCGATGTAGGACCCAACGCCTGCTCAAACTTCACGCAAATCTAGTCACAATTATACAAAGGTTCCAACGTGATAAAGTCGCTGAAATGTTTTGGAAATGAAAATCGAGGCAGAAATAGAAGGAGTTCTTTAAGGTCAGGCCGGAAAACCGCAAAGGAGTGAATCCCATCTAAAATTTGTGGAAAGAGAGATTGGGCAACTGCGCTCAGAAGATGGTCCAGGCAGGCACACTCTTCCCACGGGGTTTGGAACGTTCACCACAGCAGTGGTGTCTATTACTGCTGTTATTTATTGATTCATAGAGTATAGTACTAATTTAATTTATTTCATCCAGCGATCAAGCGGTGGGTTAAGATCACGCTGTGATCTGCTCATCAATGTTGAATTTTTTTGCTCATATCATAGGCCAACCATTGCGAACGAATATCGGTTAGAGCGAAAGCATTCCAATTAAGAACGTGATAGATACAGCTTTGCTGACAATTTTGCAAACCTTCAACGTATTTGAACACTTCTCAATGCTTTCCTCTAAATTTCCAAAATGAAACAGATTTGGAATTCTCTTCTCTACAATGAGCGTTACTTGTTGAGCCAGCATTAAAACCTGTCACTAGTGCGCCGCAAATCCACGTGTCTGCATTTTAGGCATAGCCTTCCAAATAAATCGATAGAGGCGAAGAAAATCGTGGCTTCTCTCTCTCTAACAAGGGAACCCCAACACGTCTGTCGGGTCTTTCGTCTAGAGATGTATGTAGTAGAATTATCTTGAGCCGTTAAATTCAATCTGCCCTAAGTATTTGCATGGCGATTCATTCATCCAGTATCTGCTGTGTTCGCACAAGTTTGGAACGAGAAGCGACAGCGGCAAGCGGCTGGTGCTTTCGTGAGGAAGCGCGTTGCTCCTGAGACACGAAATCAGACAAAGACAAACACTACGACCGTACAATTGGCATTTCATGCTTTTTCGTCCAGCAGCTCCGTTCTTCACTGAAAGGCAGGCTTCGAAAAGAGTCTGGTGGACTGAAAACAAGGAAGCGTCACTGAACCTACATTGCGCTCTAAAGCTCTTAGAGTTCTGTGCCGCGAAACCGATACAAGATTGCTCATACCATACCTTCAAGTACTGTGCCTGATCGCGAAGTCCACCTTTGAGGGAAATAAGACCCTATTGGTCAGAAGCATATGCGGCACTCTGTCACGGAGAGATGGAAAGAAACAAAACGTCTCACAACGAGCACAACGAATAAAGAGTCTTCTTCACACGCGGTACATTTACAGTTCTTCAGTAGCCCAGACGGGAAAGCAATACCGAAGGGGTGTTTTGAAATCACCACGATGTGCATTGAAGTATCCAACTAAATACCAAGAACAAGATAAGAAATTTATCAATCCGGGTTGACCAAAACTGAAAGTAGACTAGAATAGTTACAACTGTGGGCACCTGTTATTGCGAACGCACCATGTGTGAAAAGAAAAAAGACAAAAGTTATAGTGGATCACACCAGCCGATGACCACCACACTGTGACCATAATCTTTTTTCGTGAGGATTCGGCTTTGGAAATTGCCTCGGTGGTTCGTCGGCATCCAACCACTGTCCGGAACGTCTCCTGTTATCATACATGATCCACTTTTCATCACAGGTGACAATTCGTCCAAAAACGGGTCGTTTCTGTTGCGCAAAAGCAGTGAAGAAGAAACCTCGAGACGTGCCAATTTCTGCCGGTCACTCAAGTGGGGCACCCACTTGTCGAGTTTTTTCACCTTCCCAATGCGTTTCAGACCATCCGCAACAGTGGATTTGCCAACGCCTAGCTTTTCTGCAATCTCTCGAACTGTTTGGGATGGGTCAGCCTCCACAAACGCCTTCAAATCCTCGTCAGGTATTGCTTTAGGTCGACCGCTACGAGGTTCATCTTCAAGGCTGAAATCTCCAGAACGAAATTTGTTGAGCCATTGTCGCACAGTGCTTTCTCCAACACTATTGGGCCCCCACACCTGGTTAATTTGTCGAGCTGTCTCGACTGCGGATTGACCCAATTTGTAGGAAGAAAAATATCGTTTGAAGTTGCTCTTTTGACATGCTTCAAAAAGTCTTGGGAAAAGGGGGTTCATCAAGCAATGGTGAAACGGCAATTATACCATCAGATAGCGCAAAAATTCTCTTCAGGATGTACTACTGAGACGCAAGGGAGAATGAGTTTTTAATCAGCAATGAATGTACAAATAGTAGTAACACAAAACGCTGAGAACTTTTCGGACAACCTAATAATTGTAACGTGTGTGGAGATTACTTCTTCATTTGCTGTCGCATGGTGAAAACTTGCTTTATTTCCATTACTGAGGCGGAGGTGGTGTAGTGACAAGTGGCGCGCTTACCACTCGCGCGGCCCGGGTTCGAATCCCGGGTCGACTCCCGCCCAGGCCAACCAAGCCTTCTACCCCCGGGGACGGAACTTGGTACCAGATTCGTCTGGGAGGGCCACCGCAAGTCATTGTATAGGCCACATCGCATTCAATAAGCCACTACGATTCTGAATGGAAGTAGAATGCGTGCCGCATCCCACAAAGGGATTGATCAACGGCGAAGACTTTATCCTTTTATTTTTTATGACTGTGAGAAAATTAATTAGAACAATAATGAAGTATAATGTCACAATGAATTTGTAAGAGCATATGTAGTGTGTTGTTAAGAGCATATGTTATCCGTTGCATTAACACATCACATCTCCTCCGACAATGATTGGGAATGACCGTGAGCCCACGTTATCTTCACTCAGTTTACATGTGATTAGAGAGTCGGCCGCCCCTTTTTTTGATTCCCTCTTCAACTGAAGTCCTGCGCTTCATTCTGGTTTCGGATGAGAAGTTCACTGTTCCATCGTCCTAATCGCAGCGGGGGAAGCTATTGGCTCGAAGCGGCGAGTGGGGATCTTCTAAATGAATCG